AGCGTGGTAGTATAGCAGGGAAGGTGTTGGCCTTGTACAGGCCAACACCTTGGATTAGATCTTCGGCATCCCAGTGGTCCCCTGAGCCCCGCTGAACTCAGGAATTCCTGAGTTCAGAGCTGGGAGCAACCCTGATCATTGCTGAGTGCAACCCCCAACAAAAAAACAAAACAAAAATGCAACAGGACAAGGAAAGTCCACATGTAATTGAAAACTGATACTGTGCAGGGTGGCATAGGGCCAGGTAAGGGCCACTTAGCCCAGGGGGCTCCTCTCCCAAGTTCTGAGAGATTAGCATGTGCAGGGAAAGCTGTCTGTCCTACCTGTCATAAGTGGGGGAAGTGGGGATCTGTTCAGCGTCAGCCAAGTTTAGTGCCATGTACGATAACATTGGTTTGTCCTTCCTGCTTTGCCACAGAGAGCTTAGGTTTATTGGGTTGCTCCCCATCATGGTGCTCCATTCCTCTGTGTTTATTTACCTCACTCTTTGTGTTCTGTTGATCTGTCGATTTGTTCGAGCGGGCCCAGTAACGTCTCCATTGGAGACTTTGTTGTTACTGTGTCTGGCATATCGAATACTCTCGGTAGCTTGCCGGGCTCTCCGAGAGGGGCGGAGGAATCGAACTCGGGTCGGCCATGTTGGCCGCTTGTAAGGCGAATGCCCTACCCGCTGTGCTATCGCTACTTCTGTTGATCTGTAAACATTTTCTCTTCTCCATGACCTTTTGCACAGTTGATTGAGAGGAAAGTCCTTTTTGTATGGACACAAGAAGACAGGTAAGCTCTCCTTTTGTAACATGGGAGTTAATTGACTCCAGATAAAATTACCTCGTAGGTATCTGTTCTCTCGACTTAAGCCTCAGCTGCCCTTACTTCCTAGCATCCCAAAAGCAGGTCCGAGGAGGGACTGGATGGACCAAGGGCAAGCTGTGAGCTATGTGCTACCCTTGCATCAAAACTATAAGTTAAGAGCATGATCATGGACAAATTATGTAATGATCCAAAAAGTAATAACTAATTCTGACCCTGCTAGGGTTCACTTAATCACTTAACTTCCTGTTAGTCGTCGATTTGCTCGAGCGGGCGCCAGTAACGTCTCCATTTGTCCCTGTTGCGTGCTAGTGTAGCCCTATGGCATCTGTTCGCTCTGGGAACATGAAGAGCCTCAAACCAATCATTCATGATCTTGATGAAGAAGTCTGACCATCTGGTAGGTGGGCGGCCACACGGTCTTTTGACATCCCCCGAAATCCAGTCGGTAACAGCTCTAGTCCAGCGGTCATCTTTAAATCTCATTATGTGACCAGCCCATCTGATTTTCGACACCTTGGCAAATGAGACAGCGTCCCTGATTCTTAATCGTCGACGGAGGTCAGAACTCCGGATTCTTTCTCTCATTTGAGTGAAACGTGATATTCCAAGCATAGCTCTTTCTATTCTTCTTTGGGAGACCTGAATAGCGTTCTCATCCTGTTTACGTAGGGCCCAGGTCTCTGAGGCATATGTTAATGCAGGAAGAACAGTGGAATCAAAGAGATGTGCCCAGAGCTGGAGGTTCTTCGTCCTCTTAGCTATTTCTTCGACGTTCTTGAAGGCGTTCCAAGCCGCTCTCTTCCTCCTGCGCAGCTCGGGTGCCAGGTCATTTGTCATGTTGACTTCTCGACCTAGGTACACATAGCTGTTGCATTCGGAGATGGTCGTTCCATTGAGAGCAAATGGGGCATCAGGAACGAGGCTGTTTCTCATAAACATTGTCTTCGTAAGATTCAGCTGTAGTCCTACCTTTCCACACTCACGGTCAAAGTCGGCCAGCATTTGTGCTGCTTGGCTGATGTTTGGTGTTATTAAAACAATGACATCAGCAAAGCGGAGGTGGTGTAGTTGCCGACCATCTATCTTCACTCCCATTCCTTCCCATTCCAGTTGTCGCATGATGTTCTCGAGGGTGGCACTGAAGAGTTTTGGTGAAATGGTATCACCCTGCCGAACCCCTCTCTTGACATCAATGATCACTTCTTTGTAGAATGGTGAGATCCTGGTAGTGAATCTGCAATACAGCTCACGGAGGATCTTAATGTATTGGGCTTGAATGCCCTGATTGGCTAGGGCTTGAATGACCGCTTCCATCTCAACAGAATCAAAGGCCTTCTTTAAATCAATGAACGTTAAACAGAGCGGTATCTTGAACTCCCGAGAAACCTCAATGAGCTTGGTTATCATGTGGATATGGTCGATGGTGCTGAATCCTTTGCGGAACCCGGCTTGCTCGTATGGTTGTCCTTCATCTAGTGTTCTGCCAATCCTATTTAGGACGACTCGAGTGAACAACTTATAGATGACAGACAATAGGCAGATTGGGCGATAGTTGCCAATGTCATGGATGTCTCCCTGCTAGGGTTAAGAAAGATTAATCTGGCTGAGCACTGTAGTCTGAGTCTGTGGCGAAATGTTCCCAGGAGAGCCACCCTACAAGCCTCAATCTATCTCTTACTGTGTCCATATAAAATAACTAATATTAAGAAGTAGAATTAAGATGTTAATTAAAATGTTAACGAAGTTATTGGACCAAGGAGAAGAGGGACACCCCTAGGTGTCGTTTCCACCCTTGAGCCTGAAGGGCAGTCAGGAAGGGCTTTCTTATGCTGATTTTGCTACTGGACTGGGTGTAGCTTCTACCCCCCAGTACAGGGGAGTTGGAGAGAAGAGAGAGTTGGAGAGATAAGAGAGAGAGCAGTGCAGCAAAGATGGAGCGTGGAGAGAACTAGTAAGGGGGACAAAGAAGGATGTAGAAGAAGAATAGAGGAGCAGGCATGTGGGGAGAGAGAGCCCAGGATGCAAGTTGGAGCATGGAGTGATATGCGAGAGAGACAGGAGGAGATGGGAATGAGGGGCAGTGTGTGACTAGAAAGGGAGGCTCAGAGACACTGGTACAGGCGCGTGGGGAGGATGGAATAAACAAGTGATCAATCAACTGGCTTGGCCCTCGTTTCCTCCTGGGTCTGCCCCCATGGCATCGACCATCCTGAGTGAGGAAGCGGCCTGAGACCATCGAGACCAGGCAGCGAGAGGGAGAGACACCCGGGCTTCCCCTAGCTTCCCAGAGATTATACAGTGCCGGGTTCCCCAAATGGAATAGCACTGACTGACGAAGCCACCAGCGGGGGAGGTGGAAGAGAAGAAGGAAGGACCAAAGCACCAGAAGGAAGGTGGAAACAAGCAGGAAAGGAGGGAGAAGGAGTGGCAAGAGGAAGAGAAGATGGCACCGTGCAGGGATGGATGAGACCACCAGGCAATGCAGGGCATCTGCATCAGGTACAGGAAGACAGAGCCGGCATTAGAGTCAGACATGGGAGTCAGACAAAGAGAGGCAGATTCCTGCCATCAGGGACTCCAGCTGTCCCAAGAGTGTTTCCACCCCCATCCTCATTTATGTGTCAGACACTGTATTTGAAGAACTGTGTTCTGTTGAAGGAGGAGAAAAGTGCAGGTTAAAAAGAGCCATAAAAGCTCGAAGGAGAAAGGAAAACCTTCTAGAAAACCTCCTTCAAACAGTTTGCGGTGCCAGTTATATAAACGCAGAAGGAACTTCTGTAAAGGTATATTTACATTTGCTTCTCTTGAGGGTGCTTTAAGAGAGAATATTCTGATTTTGTTAAGCCTGGTACTATGTTGAAGTCTTGCATCTCTGTTCTAGAAGCGGTTTCGGAAGTCACATTATCTTTCAGTAAAGAGCCTCCACCACCGTCTGCCCTTTTCTTGGTCTCCAGGAAGTCAGGTTTCTTGTCCTAAGTAGCTGAGCCTCCATTGCCTTTCTTCTCTCCCTTCTTCCCAGCTTTTTCTTTGGTTTGGGGAAATGTAAGGATGCAGCCCTGCCTCTGTCTGACTCAAAGCTGCTAGTGGAGGGAGGGAGAGAGAGAGAGAGAGAGAGAGAGAGAGACAGACAGACAGACAGACAGACAGACAGACAGAGACAGACAGAGAGACAGAGAGGTGATAAAAAGAGCAAAACAAAGAGAGAGACCTTGAGTGGTGGAGTGAGGGTTCCACTAATGTTTCCTCTCCTTCTGCTCTGTTTGCCCTAAAGTGTGTGGGTCCCAAAATCCCACTTTATACTGCCAGACCTCTTGGATGCTTTGCTTCTCAGGTATCCCAAAGGCGATTCCCATGGGGAGGCTCAGGTCCCAGGAAAGTAAGAAGGAGACAGAGTGATCCCCCTGAACCAGCACCAGAAGACTGCTCAAATGGGTCCACGAGAGAAAAGACCTGGAATGTGGATAGCTGCTGAAGAAATACAGTTCATACCAGAGCAATAGAATGCTTTTTCCTTAGGGGCTTGGGGATGTGGACTTGAGTGTGGGGAGAGAACATGTTTTCAAAGAGAAGTTAAGATATATTGTAAATATGGGCTGGAGTGACAGTACAGCGGGTAGGGTGTTTCCCTTGAATGTGGCCAACCTGGGTTCAATTCCCGGCATCACATATGGTCCCCTAAGCAGAGCCAGGAGGAACCCCTGAGCATTGCCAGGTGTGATCCAAAAAGAAAAAAAAAAAAAAGATATATTGTAAATAGCACAGCAGGTAGGGCGTTTGCCTTACACGCGGCCAACATGGCCGACCCGAGTTCGATTCCTCCGCCCCTCTCGGAGAGCCCGGCAAGCTACCGAGAGTATTCGATATGCCAGACACAGTAACAACAAAGTCTCCAATGGAGACGTTACTGGGCCCGCTCGAGCAAATCGACGATCAACGGGAGGGCCTTTACCTTACCTTTACATTTCGAAAAAAATAGAAAAAAAAATGGGTATGGTCCTTCTGTAAGCATGTCCTTACCTGTTTAGAGTTAACTTTAAGCTATCTGATTTTAAATTAATGAGATTTATTGCCAGTCTGTATGGGAAGTTTTTTTTTTTCCAGTTCAGGGCAATCAGGGAGAGCCATGGAATAAAATATTATGGTCTGCAGGCCTTCTGCATGGTGCTGAGATCCCATAGCCACCTTACCTGGGACTTGCCCTTGCTGTAGCAGGCCTTCTTGGTGGCTTCATCACACTCCCACTGGACAGCCTGAGGAAACAGTAAGAGAATTACAATTGTTACAATTTACACTGCAAAGGGGGATGGAAGCCAAGCAGAAGGGGTTGTGGGCACCTGACTTGACCCACACCATCCCACTGACCTGGGATTCACAGACAGTGGAAAGAATCTGCTCTCAGTCTGCGGGGCTTAAATTGAGCTTTAACACTGGGGCATCTCAGAGACCTCACTCTTCTCAGTATTGGCATCTGAACAATAGTAATGTGACTCTTGGTTCTAGTCCCACGAGAGACCCAGGCAGTGAGCGGATGATGCTCCATCAATGACAGAAAGGATTCTTTCCACAGTGGATTCCAGAACAGACCCAGGATGAAGCCACAGGATACTTCAAAGGAAAATCTCAAAATCCAACATTCTAAAGACGCATGCAGACATTCCTATTTTATCTCAACAGCACGTCACATCAATATTCTTAGATAATGAAGCAAAAATGATTTTGTAGATGCTTACTCCCAAGATGCAAATATACATGATGAATAGTCACTCAAAATAAACAGCTTGTGCAAGCAGCACTTGTATCATTTCCCCCAACACCAGTCATTTTCATACTCTTCTGGCTAAATACGTAAGCGTCACAACTCTGAAATGAGCTTTCTCAGGTTTTCCCCCTTAAACTGGGTCCACTCAGCTGGGAGCATTTGTTTCTTTTTTTTCCCTCCACATGAACCTCGCTGATAAATGTGCTCTCTGAGCCAAGACCATGTGTGGGTTTCATAGGAGAACATTTCCCATCACTAGATTGGGATTTGTTTGGGATCTGAAGTTTGGAACTTCTGGTGAAACAGTTACATTATTATCAGAAAGAAAAAAACACGACAATATTTTATAATTTGGATTTACATCACATACACAACTCAACAATAAGGAACGGAGTTTTCCTCTTATTTCTAGTAAGATTAAAAAAAATTCTTCTAAACTTGGGAGAATTAAATCTAAAGCAAAGCCAGACCAGCACCATTATCTATGATCTGCTGGCCTGCAAAGAATGTTACATAACGGGGCTGGAGAGATAGCACAGCAGGTAGGGTGTCTGCCTTGCACGCAGCCAACATGGCCAACACAGGTTCGATTCCCAGCATCCCATATGGTCCCCCGAGCACTGCTAGGAGCAATTCCTGAGTGCATGAGCCAGGAGTAACCCCTGAGCATCGCCGGGTGTGACCCAAAAAGAAAAAGAAAAAAAAGAATGTTACATAACAAAAATGAAAGCCCCAAACTCTGTGTCTTGTGCAATTTCTCTAACTTGGTTAATGTAACTGCAAAGGAAAAGTGTCCCAGAGAGAACCATTTCAGGTCTTTCAAACAGGACAACACTGTAACTGTGTTCTCTTGTGCAAACTTCAGAGATTTTTGTCAGTATCAACTTCAATAAGAAAATGTTTTCAGGGGCTGGAGCAATAGCACAGCGGGCAGGGTGTTTGCCTTGCACACTGCTAACCTGGGTTCAATTCCCAGCATCCCATAGGGTCCCCCGAGCACCGTCAGGAGTAATTCCTGAGTGCATGTGCCAGGAGTAACCCCTGTGCATAGCCCGGTGTGACCCAAAAAGAAAAAAAAGTCTTCGTTCTTTCTGTGTTGCTTTACTTCACAATGTTTAGTAGAATCAATGAAGTCACAGTTAATGACCATCCTATGCAAACAAATGGTTGGATTCCTACCCAAGCATGACAACTACATGAAAAATGATAACACTACCAGAGGAGATCTAAGAGCTTCACAAATTGCTGTTAGCTGCCATCCCCAAAAAGCAGGGATTAAGTATCTGCATTATTATCTCATGGGGCTCTGGCCCTTCTCTGATGTCTCCCTAAGGCTTCCTCAGCTTTTTTCTTTGAACAATGGCATTCATGCTTTTCCAAGCCTTTGATTGGACTTAAAGGTAAAAAACAGAATCGACAAATATAAAGATTATTTTTTCCTTTTACAAAATGGATTCCATTCTATCTTTGATTTTACTTTATCAGGAAAATTTAGCACTATATCACACAAATTAGAATGTATGTTCCACAGTCTCTTGGAAAACCAGAAGGTGAGATGCTTCAAGAGGTGGTCCTCGGGGAGTGCTGTTGGCACAGGGATGCTGTTGAACATAGGCAACATGCCTGCCTCGGTACCCACAGCAGCTGTATGCAATGTAGGCATGGTCCCAGAGTTACAGGACCACTGTCAGTCGCGATCAGCACTGTCCAGATCTCACTGCCCAAATGATAAACATCTTTCCAAGTGCACTCAAAGCCCAAGGTAGCTTGTACATTTTCAAGGTCAATATTGATGAAGAATTAAAATAGAAAATTAATACAGAAAAAGTGTAATTGTGTTTTAAAAAAAACCATGGCATTACTTAAGCCATTTTATCAAGAAAGAGTAAGTTGCACACATAAGTTTATTAGACCAACAGAAAATGGACAAATTGGACTTTTTTTCTGGAAATAGTTATTAAAAGTAGACAAGTTATTTCCTCATGCATTTTCATTACAGTATCACTAACTTTCCAATAATATTAAAGGTAAAGGTAAAGGTAAAGGCCCTCCCGTTGATCGTCGATTTGCTCGAGCGGGCCCAGTAACGTCTCCTTTGGAGACTTTGTTGTTACTGTGTCTGGCATATCGAATACTCTCGGTAGCTTGCCGGGCTCTCCAAGAGGGGCGGAGGAATCGAACTCGGGTTGGCCATGTTGGCTGCATGCAAGGCAGACGCCCTACCCGCTGTGCTATCGCTCCAGAAAGTTGATTCACTTTCTACCAGGATAGGAGACAGGATAAAGGGAATTTATATTAAGAATGGAACTGAATTATCTATTATAGAGTTGAACAGATATCACAGAACTTGAGAAATGAATGGAGTGGAAAAGTGTCTTTATTTATTTTTTTGCTTGGCCAAAAATTGGTGTTCTACTATAATGCAGTTGTGCCCTCTTATGCTCTCTGGTAGCCATGGAAACAACAACAAAACCATTTTCACTAAAAAGAAACAATGGGACTCAATGGGATGCTCCTGAATTAAATCTAGATGTCAAAGTCACTCACTATTTGGTTTGAAGATACATTATGTTTGAACGTGGTCATCGCTCTCTTGACTCCACAAGATTTTCTCCTAATCAATTATGTTCCTTTAATCAAACCTCCTTTGCTTTATTCCCAAGGGAGAGTCCTTGTTATTCTTTTATGTGTCATCCTATTGGAGCAAGTCCCACTAATGATTTATGAAGCCATCTTTCTGGTTGACTTCCTTTTAAGATACTTTTCTCCCTCCCCAATCCTGTCATTAGGACTGTCAGAACAAACGCAGAGGCACTCTGCACCCACCATTTCAGATTTCCAGATGACACTCGGGATTTTATTTCCTGAATCTATTTTTTTAAATCTGCCATTTTTGTCACTTATTGCTTGTTTCTATCATACAACAGCATAGTAATCTTAACATTCCTGTTTCATTCTGCATTTAATCTTCATTATAATTTTTAGCAGCAGACATGGAACAGTAACATTATGGTAACTTGCATATTACACACTCTACAGAGTAAGCAGTGAGTTTAAAGCATTTGTATTTTAAAAGACTCTCTGAGATTCCTGTTTGCACCTTATATTTCTTCTCAGTAGAGACATCTATGCGAATCAACAACTTATACACGTATTGCCTTATATGCATTATACTCATGTTATCTTTTATTTAATAAACATTCATTGGCTGCCCTCAGTGGCAAGCCACTGTGCTGGATAATAAAAGGGAACACATATGCACAGACAGCATTTGCATAGGTCAGATATTAATTTACAATAAAACAAAAACGCTCTCATTCAGCCCTGATTATACCCTGCCAAATCTGAATAGGTCAGAGAGGGCATCTTCAGAGCCTGCTAGCCAAGGTCATCTCAGACACAGGGAAACTATAGAATTTACACCATCTCCCACTTTCGGCTACAGAGAGACAGAAAAGAAAAAGAGTAGGCATCTGGAAAAGCATTTTAGAACTACAGAAAACCCAGGGCCAGTGAGGAAGCTCCTTCTACTTTGGACACACAACTCAGGTGAGCACAAATGCAGGTCTGATCTCAGGAGGAATTCAGATTCGGGAAAGTAAAAAAAAAGACAATCTTTTCTGTAGGTGCTGCATACATAGAAATCCACAGCTCTCAGAAGTACACAAACAAAGCTGTGTATTATCACATTCCACAGCAAGAGAAGTTAATTAGACAGGGACCAGCAAAGGCAGAGACTTTTCACAAAAATGAAGAGAACAACGTGCTAGGCAGATGGGCCACTACTCCACCACTCTCTCAGCAGATGGCTTTGTTAATTAGATACTGGCAAAAGATAACATTTAAAAAACTAGTTTAATTACACAGTGCCAAAAATTAACAACCACCTGAGGGCTTCTTTTATATGTTTGCATTCATAATTTTTATGTCATGTTTTTCTGTGAAACGCTGGAGAATGTTAAATTGTCATGGCAATTATAAACAAATTGTCAGGGAATGGGAGTCCGCACTGCTGTTCAAAACAAGCCAAATTCAAACGGGATGGGATTTGAAATAGCTGTGATTTTTATATGGCTTGAATGAAACGTGGGTCTAGATGTCTTTGGGTGTAGACATCTCGAAAAATACCTTGAGTGGCCTCCCAGGACAGTACAAAAGAATGACAGCTGAGATGGAGAATGACAGTTGAGACAGGTACGTGGGAGATGCAGAGGTTGCTGTGAAATTAAAGAGCATGTGTGGGAAGACACAGGTCAGATAAAGAGGGGCAGAGGGGAGCTCATGGAAGGTATAGAAGTCACCTTGAGTGATGGGTGTCTGTGTGGATGATACAGTGGACACCTGTGAAGGGCTCTTCCATATCATTATCTCATGGTGGATACAATGTGCATTTGCTTGCCTGGGGAGACAGTAAGGCAGGGACGGCAACAGCCTTGCATGTGGCCACTCCACACTAAATCCCAGGTACTCCGAGCACTGCCGAGAGAGTCC